TGTTTTATGAAATGAAACACATCGTTTCACTTGGTTAAAGTCTTGACATTCAATAAACAAACAACTGCACGTCAGGAAAAGAAGGAGCTATCACAAGCTAAACCTCACAGCAAAATATGTCCAAAGGATGAAACATCACCTTCTGTCTCAACTCCATCTTGTCCTCCATGCCTGCAGCACCTTTCATGTGGGCTCTTTTCTTTTTGGTTGACCCAATTGCTGCCATTCCTGAATGTGTACAGTATTTCCACCTTCAGCCTGTCTCAGGCATGCAAAGCGGTGGGCATAACTCGAGCCCTCAAACAGCCATGCAGAACCTCTGTTCATTTCAAAATCCAGCTTGGGCTTGTTCTCCATGGTCAAGTTTATTTCATAAAGTGGTCTTTCCTACTTCTTTCCCAACTTCTTCCACTTACCTATGGATAACACTCTCTTTTGTTTTTCCACCTCTTTTGGGCAATTCTGGTGCACAAAATTTATTTTCTGAATATCCTGCTATCTGGAATAATCTTTTTAGATTTTTCTTTATGTTTATTTTGTTTATTTTCATTTGACAAACATTGGGAAAATGTCTTTTTTCCTCTTGCCAGCTTATCTTATATTTTTTTAACAATAATTTATTACAACTTATCTTTGGAATGAATATTTATTTTTTTTGCTACAGCCTGTATAAAAGAAGACCATCATAAAATGAAGTTTACTCTATGCTCCTCCCTCTTTTCCCACAAAGAATATCAATACATGTTTTAAATGAACAGTCAAAATTGAATCACAGGCAGCTCTGCACCACAAAAGACAATGATTCAACATAATTATGATTCAATATAATTCTAGATGTCTATTGAATTCTAATGTCTATGTGTCAGTACTCAAGTATTCATGTCTTTTATAAAACAGTTTTCATTATTATATGTTGCTATTAAGACTACTATTAAAAAGGAAGCAAGGATTGCTCAGATATGTCTGTCTACTTTATACACATAAAATAGCATTCATCCTTTCTCTTATGGTAGGTAGCTTTGCTGATCATGTGTGTTGTATTATCATTTAAACATAGTAAGAAAACTTGAGTAATTGCACATTAATTAGATCTAGCAGGCCATCCGCATGTGATTCCTGACAACTGTTTTCCAAGCACTGGCAGAACATCTGGCAAACCATTGCCCTTTGGAGCCATCGGAGAGAAGCAACCTCCCATCAGAAAGAGCAACAGAAGCATTAATGTTGAAATTATTTATTTAAGCCAGTTGTTTGTAGCACTATCATCAGTGGTCAAAAAGGGTTGTAGACCATTGGTTCACTTTGCAGACAAGCACAGCAGGTCTTTTAAGACTGCACTGAAAACACAAGCAGCAATCAGTTTTAGCCATGCTCTTTTTGTGTCTTGGGAAATACAGTTATGTCTTTCCCAAAGGCTCTGTTTTCCTCTAGATCAATAGGATGAGTTTATTTCAGGTTACGTTTTGTTCTCAGCCAAAATGAAGGACATCTGGCATTTTCTTCCTGAGGGGAGCTTCAGGCCTCACAACTATGAGTTGGAATTACCTTGAAATAATATTTGCAATCTCAAATTCAAACTCCAGTTCAGAGAAGATGTTTTTTAATATTTTGTCATTTAACACATTTATACAAAGTAACACCGAAAATACTTTACTTTTCTTTCTTTGTAGTATACACTTTTATATTTTGCACTTTGGAGCATTCCTTATATGATCTTGTGAAGTCTTTTTTTTTTTTTTTACTGTAAAATGGCTTAAAATAACTCATTTTGACTACTTTGGGCTGTGAATTCTTTATGACAAAGTCTACTTCTCAACATGCCTTTTGTACAGTAATTCATTCTAAGGACCCATCATCTCAATGGATGAATCTGAGGTGTTACTCTAAGCACAAATTATAACTTATTTCATATGCAAAACTCCACTGACAAGGAAAGTTGAAGATATCAAACAAATGCTATTGAGAGCTGCATGATGGCTAAAGAACCCACAGTGCCACTCAGAGAAGAGTTTTTGTCTGAAATGCACATTCATTGACCTGCCTTACCTGTTAGATTATACTGCAGTTTTGTCAGGAAGCAGCTTTCTTCTTCCTTTCTTTCTTTTTGTTCTTATTCAATAGCAGTCTCACTGGAAGAACTCTTGCAGCTACTGTTCCTGGAGTTTAATTTATGTCTTTTGAAATGACTACAACTCGTGAAACTCTGTCACTGGGGGAAATCAGATTGAAATTTTCTCCTGAATAGTTGGATTATTATTGTAACCACTTAAAAGGTGACAGGATCTTCACCTCAGTCATTTTTTTCCCCAAGAAGTGTTGAAAATGTCACCCAGTTAAACCCCAGATCAGAGTGCCATTTAAAAACATGTCTCATTAAACACTCAGCTCTTGTTATGACCCCGATGGATTGGTTGCTACTGAGTTTATGAAAAATGAAATGCATTACTTTTCAGAGAAGCTTTACCTATGTATTTTCCATTCTTATTTAAGACAGGAATGTCAGACACTTATTAAATGGTTAGAATCTGGCTTACTTCTCACCAAATTCAAACACTCAAAAGCTAGAGAATGAAAAAAAAAAGAGAATTGCAGAAAATATCTTTTTTTTTTAACAAGTAGCATTTGTCATGCTTTGCAGACTTTTGAAGGCAACACCAACTATGATACTCCTGAACTGAGGACTTTTGAACCTGTATCAACTAGATTCATTCGTGTCTACCCTGAGAGAGCCACACACGGAGGCCTGGGACTGCGAATGGAACTGCTGGGCTGTGAACTGGAAGGTAATTGCTCTGCTAGAGATGAATGCATTTTATTATTTTCATACATACATTCTCCTGCTTGGGCTACTGCTGAACACTGCAATTCCTGTACAGGCAGCACATTGGGCTCTCGCTTCCGTGACTCCTGTTAGTGCTACTTCTTTGGCCTAATCAGTCCCTTCACTAAGGATATTTGAATAAGCCCAAGGCACAAATATTATTCTTTCTTCTATTCCTTTGCTGAATCACAGTGATGTTATCCACATGGTTTTCTGTTCCCTTAAGCACCCTTATGATTATAATTTGAAGAAGCACAGATCTATTAAGGGAGAGTAAAGGCAGGATCTTATATTTTTTGTTAGCCACAATACTACCCAGGAAGAAATGTTTATTGAGGCTACTGAAGGAGCTTTGCAAGATAGATAGAAATGAAGTCTTGTGCTTTTGCAAAGGAAGTGACAGTCACACCACACTGTATGATGGGCAGCGATTACTTGCCTGCACAATGTCGGTGCTGCTCATTGCACAGGGAGGAGGGGAGGTTGTCTCTTTGTTCCATACCAAGTTTTAATTTTAAAAAAGTACGCAGGAGATGAAAGACCAGGAAAAGCGAAGTTTAGACATTTATCCTTGGACTGTGACATGATAATGCTTTGATTCTTGCTATATAAACGATAATTATATAACATTATAGATAACTACAGTTAACACTACATGAATTTCCTAATTTTATCTGGTGGATGATAGCATAATGCAGTGACATTATAAATCACACGGTTTAGCAATACACACAGAGTAACAGACTATCTTAATCAGGGTTGTATATGGTACTTCCTATAGAAGTAGCTAAACATTCTCTAAAGATAAATGAATCCAACTACTCTGCATCCATTTCTTTCTCACCATGTCTTTCCCAAGGTGGAAATGTGGGAGGTAATTGCTGTGAGAGCTGATGAGTTCTCTGTTGTTTTTAGTGAAGGCCAGATTGAATAAGTGTGTTTTTTACTTGGCCCGGAAAGTGAGGAGGTTAGAAATACTTCTTAGTTCCTGCAGGAAGTCCTCGTTTCCTGTGTGAATTCTTAGTTCCTGCAGACTATTGTGCTACTCAGAAAAGAGAAAAGAAAATGCAGCACCTGCCTCATGTAAACTTGCAACCTGAGGGCAAAGTCCTCTTGCCACTGGGCTCCAGTAGCTGCTCAGATGTGAAGAAGCGAGTCCACGGATCATCTTCCCAGAGCATGTTTTTAACTGGGGTGAAAGAGCTAGGGAGGAGAGGAGAGAAAAGTTGCCTTTGCTTTTTTGGCAGTCTGCAGCAGCAAGTATAGTGTTTCCCTGGGACATCCACTCGCTGTCGTCCTCCCACTATGGTGCATTTCTGAAGGGTGTTCACCTGTAAGTCACCTATAGACAAGCAGGGGTCATTTGCCATTTACCTGTGGGAGAAGCATAAAAAAACTGTATTAAAGCATTAAAAAGCTGTTTTAAAACTGTATTTTAGGAGGCAGTTGAATGAAGAGAAGTCGCTCGAGACTCACTGAGAAGGATAGGAGCTGTGATGAGAAAAGTAGGCACACAGAGAGTAGCAGAAATCCGTGCTCTAGCAGTAATGAACAAGGGGAAGCTGTGTGCGCTCAGAGTATCCCAAGGGGAATGTATGAAATGATGGCAGAGATGTAGGCAAGCGTGAGGCTATACAAGGGCATGAAGTCAAGACAAGAAACTTAACTTGATGCAGAAAGCTAGAGGGAGCTCCCAGAGGGATTTTTAAAGAGATGTGGGAAATAAACATTCTGCATAATTCATAGCAGGTAGAGAAGCATTTTCTTTCTTTAACTAGGGCTATTGTACCTGTAAAACATAGGTTGGCATTCTAAAGAGCCATCTCTCATCCCAGAATATTGCTACTTAAGATGCTACTGTCTGTCCTGATGTTTTCCATCCTAGAAATAGGTGCATAAGATCTTATGTGGCAAGTTCTGAAGCCACACAGCAAAGAAGGCAGTAGAAGGGCAAAGAACAGTTGACAACATGTGCTACTGTATACCTTATAATGATACTAAAACATTATTTTTGTAATTACATTCTAATTGTAATATTAAATACCAGACTTTAGCTGGTTATGTAGCAGCAATCAGAAAGTCATCACTGCTGAGATGCAGGCAGGTGGCCAGGAGGGATGACTGACATCATTAATGTCTTATTTATTTATAACTTCAACCAAACAAAAGAAAGCTCTTCCAGATCTCCTCAGTGAGCACAAAGTGGTTCTACACAACACCGCCTTCCTGCCACTGTTAGCAGGACTCTGCTCAGACGTTTCCTCTGCGGCACCTGCCTCCTCGCAGGGCGGGCGTGCTGTGGAGTTACAGCCTTGAGCACACCCCGCTTCTGCTGCTCTGCACAGGGCTGCCCGTGAGCACTCCGGCCTGCAGCGAAAGGAGGCCTTTTCTACCCCTCCACAAGACTCATATTGTGCCTTGCCAGGCTGTTGCGCTTCACTGGTAGGGACAACAAACACTCAGCAGCCAGTGCAGAGCCTTTCCAGGGGTGTGCTCTCCGAATCCACTCAGCACATGAACTCAGACACAGCCACATGCCTTCATGCAAGGGGGTAGAACAGAGACTTCCCCTACAAAGAAATACTAACTAACCTGCAGAACAGAGCTGATCCTTTTCATCAGCTACAGCACATGAAGAGAGCATATGGTGCTCATCAAAACGTTACTGCCAATTGCATGCTGACTCTCAAGCAAATGTTTTAACTGAATGACTGGATATTTTTTCAGCTCCTACGGCTGTCCCCACCATTTCCGAAGGCAAACCTGTAGATGAGTGTGATGACGACCAGGCAAACTGTCACAGTGGAACAGGTGATGACTACCAACTGACAGGTGCAGAAACCATCCTCATTCCATTGCAGCTTCATTTTAGCTCATATCCATCATCGGTTACCAGCTAAACATTTGCACTGATTTAATCACTCAGCATAAATGGACATTGGTATGCAGTTCATATTGCCAGTGCTGTCAAAACATAGGCATCTGCCTTTTACATGTGACAATACTTTTGATTGTTTTCTCAGCTATGTAATTTTTGAGGCAAATAATAGTGACTAGCTGGAGGAGAGGGCATCTTTTTGAGTAGGAATTGTGTCTAATCAAATGTCCTAATCAAACTTTCTCTTATTAAGAAAAAAGCTGGACAAACCTTTTGAGGTTTATTGTCTGAGACTGAAGGAGAACTTAAAAAGACAGTATTATTTAGGTTTAAGATATATATGCTGCTCTTCCATGCCTAAAATCTAGCACAGGACTTGCATCTCAGACCTAAACCTTTCCCAGGCAGAAACTAAGCAGATTTGTTGCAACAGAGCATGTTCACACAAGTACCTACAGAAAGGGTTCCATGAGCTTCTCCATCATCACAGCAATATAGCCAGAGGGGCTGACCCTCTCCAGGCTGCCACCAGCAGCAGAAAAATAGGAGAGAGTAACGTGACTGAAAAGCAAAGGCTTAGAATAGGCTACATACAGATATATATGCATACAGATATATGTTTAGACACACATACATAGGCTAGATCTAGAAGGGAGGAAGTTTTTTAGTTTACATATCTTCTCATTTGTGCACAGAACTACTGTCCTGAGAGCTGACACTGCATCTCTACATTTCATCTTTTTGTGGAGGTCACTTGCTCCACAAAGCTATGGGCCTGTTCGATGAGGTCTTCCCGTAGCAGATCTATACATCTAAAGTAATTGAGCTTATTCTTGGACATAGCGACACAAGCTATTTCATCTCCTCTCCCTGAGGTGCTTCTCTAATAAATGTTTATTGCTTCTTATATCCATGATATAAAATATCATTACTGTCTTACAATAGCTGTCCAAGAAGACTTCAGGAAACCTTAGGTAAGAGGGAGATTGGCTTTTTGAAAGCAGCCAACTAGAACACCAAATGCAAACAAAATTGCAGTTTCAGCATCCATCTCTTTCAGAGCCTTTTCGTTGTCTCCTGTAAAAGCAAGTTGCAATATACATCTAAAATGATTCTTAAGCAGAAAAGGCACTACACAGTCACTGTCACTGCTTTTCAAATCAGTGTCCCAGATGAATCTTATTCTTTTTGAAAACAGCTGCACAAGGAGCGAGACCAAATAGCACATATTGAGTCAAGATAGCCCAGAAAGCTTTCAACATTAGTAATCACTGTGAAGCATTTATTTTTGTGAAAGCACCTCCAGATCCAGGTCAGAAAACATTCGCCCTTCCTACGAAGTCCTATATTAAGGTCCGGCTTGGAAGGCTGATGGGTATAGACATAGTTCACCTAGATAGAATCATAGAATCATAGAATGCTTAGGGTTGGAAGGGACCTCTAGAGATCATCTAGTCCAACCCCCCTGCATACGCAGGGACACCTAAAGCACGTGGCGCAGGACTGCATCCAAGCGGGTTTTGAAGATCTCCAGAGAAGGAGATTCCACAACCTCTCTGGGCAGCCTGTTCCAGTGCTCTGTCACCCTCACTGTTAAGAAATTTTTCCTTAAGTTCCTATGGAATTTTTGATGTTTCAGTTTCCGGCCATTTCCTCTAGTCCTATCAGTGGCCACCACTGAAAAGAGACCATCCCCGTCCTCTGCACTCCCTCCCTTGAGGTATTTATATACACTGATTAGATCCCCTCTCAGCCTTCTCTTCTCCAGGCTGAACAGGCCCAGCTCCCTCAGCCTCTCCTCATAGGGCAGATGTTCCAGGCCCCTGATCATCCTTGTAGCCCTGCGCTGGACTCTCTCCAGCAGCTCCACAGACTCTCTGAGGGGAAGGAGATAAGAGTTTATGCAAGTACATTCCCTGTTCATGCATCCACAGGCCCTGCGCTTCTGGGAGCTCAGAGATGCATCCCACATGTCCCTTAGGGAAAGCTTATTGAGCAGAAATTCCCCCTAGCAATTTTTACAGGCCATGTTCTTAGGGAGCAGTCTATAACCTCCAGGACAAGGGAGCAGCCATCAGCCTTCCCAAGCACCAGCCCTTTGGGGAAACTGAACTATTTCACTTAGAATTACAACACTGCCCTTCTTCAGAAGTGCAAGTAGGTGCTTGAGCGTTGCCTATTACTGTTCCACCTAAAACTCCTGACCACAGCATGTTCTGGATACTGCAGAAACACTGCACTTTGTGTGTGATGTTACGTATTATACAAATATGCATACACGTGTGATTTTATCAGTAATGCAATTATGGACATTCTTTTCTTTCTCCAAAATGCAGAGAAAAAACGTATGTAAATCTCATGGCCCATTAAGGATAGCAGAGCAATGTGGAGGTGATTTCAGCAGGGGCTTTAGGGGTAGCCGAGGAACACAGAGGTGATTTCCGTGGCTTACCCTTCTTTATTCACTCTCCAGTGAGTGCAGCGTGCTGCATTCTCGTGGGCGACACTGTTAGAGTCGCTTGCCTGATAGTATTTGCACATATGTGAGTACCACAATGAAGCCTCCCTTGCAATTAGCTGTAATTGTGCTGTAGGCCAGATTCCTTCCTGCTCTATTTGGACCCCATACAGAGCTACTCTATTTGCGTGGCTTATAGCATTTCCCATCAGATCATTCTCACAAACATAAAGCTGATACAACTTGGGCATTCATTCTGTTTGGAAGTCATCATAGTCATCCTTTCTATAATGCTTTAAGCACTTGCTTGCTGGAGAAAGAAAAGCCATTGACTGGCAATCAGCACCCTACTGCGCATTTATAATTGTGCTAATTTACTTTTTGTTTCCTTTATCAATATGAGGCTTACTCGAAAAAGTCAAGTATTTTAGAAATATCAGTTAGTGAGCATAGAGAGAGGGCCGTGACCCCACTCACCTCTTGTTTGTCTGCTTCAAGAAGACAATTGGCAAGTTCTTAATTCCTCCTGCTCTTTGAGACCGAGTGAAGTCTGCTTTAAACCATAGCCTGAACTCACGCAATTCCCACACAACTCTCTTGTGAGCTGGTCTCCCCGTGCAGCTGCACAGCAGCACACACAGGACACGCGGGGGTGGAGGGTCTTAGCTCCCCCCAAACACTTCTCTTTCATCTCTGATACGAGAAGCAACGCATCCTGGTGAGTGACCAGGCTGCCGAGTGTGAGGTGCTGTGGAGAGGAGCTGCTGACTTCCCCTGTGAATATCTACCTGTAAAACCAGGGCAGCCGTAGGGACATTGCAAGGATTCATTAGCTGGTGTTTCCAAGGACTTCAAAGATATAAAGCTCTATGTAAGTGATGATGATTAGTCCTATTAGTCCTAGTTTTCTTTTTTTTTGACAAGGGAAATGATATCTTTAATATCATATTTGCGCACTAAAGCTCACACACTCACCTACCAACCTAATAAGGATCCTAACATTTCAGATTTATATATAGGATATTCCTAATGATTGCTATGTCCTTTGTTCTGTCTCATGTATCATGATATGCATTATTTCTTTTCCAGGTGGTACTACGGTGCTGAATACTGAAAAGCCAACAGTAATAGACAATACTTTACAACCAGGTAAAAAAAAAAAAGATTTTTCTTATTAAAAACGTAATAAATTCCATAACCAAATTTCATACCAGAGACAAAATAATGAATTGCAGCACTTCCTGACTTCCCATTCCCTAAAAGTCTCTGAAGTAAAGAAGCATCTGGTGTCTCAGCTCTGTACAGTAAATATTTTATTCCTTTCATCCACATGTAGACACAGCAGAGAACAAGATTTCCTTCTGCATCAGCAAATGCCAAATGCTGACAAAATTAAACTAACTTAATCACACAGTGCACTCTTGTTTAAATGTGTCATGTCAGTAACACAAAGCCTGTTTGCAAACTCCAGGAAAACAAAAACAGAGCCACACAGGCTCTTTCACTATTTATATCCACGGTTTTACAGAAGTAAGACAAGAAAAGTTTGCCAGTTTTCTCCACCAGGGAGCTGGCAGTTTTACAATATTGTTTTCTAGAAGTGCTCTCAAAATGGGGTTACATAAACTGCTACCATGAACTTGAAAAGGGAAAAGCAAGTTGTCACTGGCAGCAGGTCCTCTTTACTTAATTGATACAATAACTAGCAAGTTTGCAGCTTCCACAGTTTTCATTGCTTATTTTAATATATCTTGTATAATTTACTGGAAATAGGGGAGAGGAGGGACTTGGGCAGAAAATTCCAACTATGTAAGGTCTGAGCATCAAATTAAAATGCTTTGCATTAAAAATTGTGGGGCTGTACAGAGGTCAGTTTTCAGTTACTCCCATTTCCTCCGTTAAAGCACAGTCAAGCACAGTCTTGCAAGTGATTTATTAACAGGGTGGGTAAGTGTTTATCATTGTTTCCTTGACCATATGGCACAATCCGTTTTTCAAGTAAAAGAATGATACTAATAACACAAAAATCTTCTAAAGGACACTGATGGTATCCACCTGATTAAGCAATAGACTTATCTAAGATGTTGTTCCTATTCTCAGCCTCTGAGAATTTTTTTAATATCTTCCTAACAAAAGTTAGTTACGAATTCACCAAGCCCCTCTTTGCAATGCAACTTCCCTCCTCCCCAGCGACAATCCTGTTTGCAGGTTGGTTTAATCCCTTTGGCTCAGGTGGGTTTCTTCAGTAACAGATTGACTGTTGCTGCCAGAGATGAAGATATCCTCATTTTCCCTCCATACTTCCTTCTTGCGCCGCCTCCATTTACACCACAGTAAGCCAGATTTTTTCTCTCACAGAGAGGTCTTGGAGGTTGCCTTTGGAACATGCCAACGTTACTTCCCTGCATTGTATTGTTAGGAACCGCTTCCTTCCGGGAGTAAGGGACAAGTTCACATCCCAAACTCTGGGCTCCCACATGGCAGCACATTACAAAGATCACAGATAGAGATCAGTCAGATGCTAATAAATAAGAATAAGGTTTCCAGGATCTCCAGTTTAAGACATAAAGATTTCCAGCTGCTTTGTAATCCCTCACTGAAAATTGTCCAGAAAACTCCCACAAAGGGACATCTAGAAATTCCTGTCTGCATGGGGAAAGCCTGGCTGGTCTGGGGCTGGGAGGAGCGTTTCCATCTGCCATGGGCATGGCTGGGCGCGATGAAGCGGAGCGGAGCATGGGCATCCCCACGATGGCCATCCCAAATAACGCTTCGCAAACTCGCCGTGAAGGTGCTGAGTGCCCCTTGGCCCAGCTGGCAGAGGATCGGGGTCTGTTCTCTCTTGGCTCTCCTCAGGCTGAGCAAGACACTTTCGCGGCACACGCTGGTGTCGCGCTTTGCTGTCCTCCCGTCTGCGCCCCAGCCTGCAAACACCCCTAATCTCATTATCCCGCAGTAACACGCTTGTGTGTGTCAAAGCTTATCCTATTCCAGCCAGCTTTCGAATGCTGTGGAAACAGTTAAGTAAAAGAGAGGCTCAGGAAAGCCTCCATGTATATACAAGCTCTGCCTCAAAGAGAGTTTCACAGTTCATTTCAAGGGGACTGAATTGTAAGAAAATAAAATGGAATAACAATTGCAAACAGCCAAAATTCCTTAAATGCTTGGATCTTCTCAGGAAAGGCCATATTTTGTACCTCAGACTCAAAAAGATGCCTTTAGCAAACTTCTCTATCAGGGTAAATACCTATCAGACCTGAGACTCACCAACATCCAGTCTTTTTGAACATATCTCTTTCAATACCAAAGAACTATCATCTGACCTGCTTGACTCGCAGCTATTTACATATAAAACAAGCTGTTCATTTACATTACATGCCTTCAGCATGTAACCTCAGTCCTTTGTAAAGCAGACTGCTCAAGAGGTATCTTGTTTCTCACACATGAAGCAGATATTTCGGAAAAATATAACTTAAGAAATCCTGAGGTTAAAACCTAGGCTAGGAAATCATCTGAAGGTAGAATAGATCCGATTATTATTTATAGTGGGGCAAATTTACATCAATAAAAGGATGCAAAGGGATATTAAAGCACTTAAAACATTATTTACTATCATTTAAGATAATTCTATGCTGCCAGAATAAGTGGTATTAAAAGGCCAAATGCAAATAAGAATCATACCCAATATATTACTTTGAAGTGGTCCAAATTACGCTTGTAATTTCCCATTTAATGTTGATTTACCCTTCGGCAAGAGCATTCTATAGAGAGATTTCTTAGCATCTTTAATGCCATCATGCTCCTTCTTGCCTCTTGTTGGAGGAGTTATAAAAATATGTCAAAGTCTGTGGGCCACAAAAGATTAATGAACTTGCAAGAAACTCACTCAACTAGATTTTCAAATGACTTTCTTGTTCGTGTGCAGTAATGGCCCCAGCTGTGAGCAAGATGTGGTCAAGAAGTACAGCTGTTGGTTATTCTTTGAGAGGATAAATCTGTTTTAATTCAGTATCACGTACCCTACATTTTCAAAAAGACATATGGGATTTCATCACACCTCCCTCTCAGATTCTCATCTGAACTGCTGCTATTTGGTTATATAATAGCTGGTTTACTTCATCCTCTTGATTCACGTAAACCTAGAGATCACTGACCTACTGACAGGAGAATTATCCCAGGAGGGGAATGGGCCAGCACTGGGGAGGGAACCCTCCAAATCCTGGTCGTTTGTCCTTCCTTTCCATTTTCTTTCCTTCCTTCCAGAGAGCTGCCAAGCTGTAGTTCAAGGACAAAGGAGAGGGTAGATTGTCAGTAGCTTGCTGTTAGCTACTGTATCAGCCCCTCGGGATCTTTAATAGCAGTGTTGAACTATTCTGTCTTTTGCTGGGGCAGATCCATTGTCCATACAGCTAATGAACATATCCTGATGCTACAAGTGTCTATTATTAATCGGCTGGCATGTCTATTTTTCTTTTTATGGGTCCCCGGGAGAAGCATTGGCAGAAACATAAGAATAGGCAATAAGAGATGGCATGTTTAAAGAGCCCATAAAATGAGATCGCTCTGAAATGTCTTGTCTTTGACTTTCACTCCCGCTGTTGCGACTGTAGAAAGCGTGAGCAGAGGAAGCAGTAGGGACCTAGCAAGAAAGAGTTGTCTGAGTTAGTCTGGTTACAGGCCGAATCCTGCTCATTTTCAGGGGATTCTGATTAACTTCTGTACGGCAAAGAAGTTCATTTTTATGCTACATCATGCTGTCTGTTAGACTCGCACAGGAATGGCTAAAGCAAATCAAACTTATGCCCTTTGCCATTTTGCCAAACCATATATTTCAAATGAAAGTCTTTACTAGATACTGCTGTGAAATGTAACCCTCTTTTGAAACTCTCACTCTAATGCCAATGTTTAGAGATTGCTTCAAACCATGAAACAAGAAGCTCTTATCATTTCCTGCACTTCAAAATTAACAATTAAATTCTGGATATTTTCCTTATTCACCTCTATGTCCAGTTCCAGTGTCCCTTGTCCAGTCTTTGATTCACCTTAAGCCCTAGCAGCACACCAGGGGAGCATGTATCGGTCACATCTTATGAGAGAGTTTTTCTTTTTATCAGTATTGAACTTTATGGGATATCACACAGTTCTCAGGCTATGAAACGGAAAAAACAGAATATTCTGATCTTCCTTCTCTAGGTTCTTCACTCATTTACATACTTTTCCTGTGTCCTCTGCTATTTATTTTTATTCATAGTTGAACACTCCCAGTCCTTTCAGTCTCTTTGTGCTATGCACTCATTTATACTGTGTGATATCTTCAGACTGATGTGATCTATATACCACTGTTCTCCTTTCTTGCAGTTTCAATACTGCATAGGCTATCACAAGATTTGCAAGATATAATCCTTTGGGATTAATAAGATTAATTTTGTCTTGGGTTTTCTAAGACTTTTTTAAAGTTCTGCTCAAGGCTCTGATGTCAAAGCTATGCAATATATCTCTCCCTGAGCCTCCTTGACAATGAAAGGATATTTTTCATGAACTTAAAACCCTTTAATTCATTTCAATGGGACTCTGTCTCTTTAAAAACTTCCCTTGATTTTCAGATGTCCTCTTTAGGGCAAGATCTCTTTCATGGGGCCCCATTGTCTAGGGAACTACATATATATATATGTATGCATATATATGTATAAGAAAGAAACATAATAGTTTGCCTTCTGCACCCACATGTGCAGAGGCTGACTTCTGCTTCCTCAACATTTTGAGCATGAAGATCCAAAGAGAGATTATTCACCTCAAATCCACAATCTTCCACTTTCCCAGAAAGGGTTAGGTCCTACAGGAAACATGTTTTCACCACATTAAATTTTGGTGAGTGATCGTATCTGTTTTATAGACTCGCTCTGAGTTAGGATGTCACTCTCATGACAGTGCCAGGGAGACCCCTCTGGAGGGGGAGCAGAGACGGCTGCTGCTCGGAGGAGCCCCGCAGGACAGAGGCAGGGAGAGGCAGGGGCTGCAGGAAGCAGGATGGGCAGATAAGATGGAGAAGCCAGAGTGAGAGCTCAGTGCGGAGCCGTCCTGCAGCGTGGCCAAGGTGCTGCGAGACCCAGGAGGGGACAGGGAGCAGCCGTGCACTCGCACCTCACTGCTGATAAAGGACATTTTCAAGGGGCCTGAGGGAAGAGGGCAAAGCTGCTGCAGTGCAGGAATCCAGTGGGTTGAGTGAAACCTGTCTGGGAGCAAGGATCCACCACGCAAGGACACAGTGGGCAAGATGGGATTGATATGAACCCTTCTTATAAAGTGTTCCATCTTAACCTACTCACTTGAGGATTTCTCTGTTTTCCTAATATATATATTTTTAAGTTAACTTTCTATTAAATTCTGGGGTTTGAGTACAGAAAGCCTGTCCACTCTTACCTGGGGAACTCGCTATGTCGAGGAGCTCTTTGCCTTTTCAGACTGGAAGACACCAACCTCATTTTGCTGGCCAGCCTCAGGTCCCAATATACTTCCCGTCTTCCTCTGTATTTTCCCACAACAAACAAAAGACATTCTAGGAGTTGTATAATCTTTCACTGGCTTTTTCTTTTAATAACGGGGAAGAAAGCACAAGAATACAGTTCTGCCTCCAGAGCTGGTACTGATGGGAGCACAAAGTCCTTTGTTCTTAGTTCATACTTGCACAAAACATCTCATTAAAGTTAACCTAAGTTTTTCCTTAATAAGGAGTGAGTCATGCCTGAGAAAAGACTTCAGGATTTGGTCGCATTGCTGTGGGAAGGATATTGCTCTACTGGGAGTTGCCATTGCTCAAAGTTAGGAAAAAGTTCATGCCAACAGGGCAGGAATCAAAAACCCAAAAAGGTTCAGACTGGTTTTGAAAATGAGAAATGCAAGGAATTTATATGCTATCTTTGTAGAATCTTTCCATTCAAAATCCACATTCCATTGAAAAAAAATAAGCTACTTTGTATTAAACTTTTGGGCAGAACTGAAGAGAAGCTGAAAACAAGATATGATCTCATCCTGACCATAATACCAGACTTCCCTTGTTTTACGTGGAGCTTGTTTTGAAGCTTATTTTGAGTTCATTTGGCAATCAGCCACATTTGTCCCTTTTCGTTCCCCACTTGTCCATTTCAATGCTGCCATCTTGTGGGCCTACTTAACTGCTTGGAAGATGCTGAAATAAGTTATTGCTTAAACCATGAAACACATATTTCACCAGAAATCCTTTTGTGCCAAGGACATTCCATTAGTGGCTTTGTCTCTCTTATCCAAGTATGTATTGAGAGTTGCTACACAACATTGCAAGGCATTGCAATGGCAAGAATAGATATTAATAATGAGCAAATATTTCTGACAAGTAAGCCCACACTTTTTTTTTTGAACGATAGGTATTCCACCATGGTTATTAGATAATGCATGCAAATCTGAAGAAAAAATCTAACCACATAAAATCACAAAATGTGTTCCATAAAGAGATAAAATAAACATGTCATTTACTAGAAATACTCATTCCACATCTGTTTGCTAACAAGGCTCCCCTTGTTATGGCTTGTCAGAGTTTCAAGTAGAAATTAAGTAAAAATGAAGTTTCAAGAAATGGCTTTCTTAGTGGCAGAGTAAGTGTATTTGGGGCTGAAGTACAATATCTGAATTATACAGCTAATAATCATTTTTCCTCCTTCCATTTTTCCCTTTTGCTGCAGAGCTGCCAGTGTACAATTTCAACTGTGGATTTGGCTGGGGTTCCCACAAGACTTTGTGCCACTGGGAACATGACAACCAAGTGGATTTAAAATGGGCAATCCTGACTAGCAAAACTGGGCCTATTCAAGATCATACAGGTAATCATGAGTTCATGATTTAGCCATTTTACAGAGGAAGAGGTTGCTTAATACCAAAGTATTAAATGTAATATACCATAACATATCAAAGTGCTTTCCAAAACCAGAGAAATTGTCTATAGAGTGAAGTAATTACAAGTACGATATGTATAGCCAGAAACGTTATTCTCTAGGCAACCTTACTTACTGACCATAATTGTCCCTTCTGCTGGGATATAAAAGTCATTTATTATCAGGAATTGAAGGCACTCCCTGCTCCTAATTATCCACTGGATAAACCCTACTTGGTGGAAAGACATCTGAATGACCAAATATTCTGCAGAAGTCATTTAACAAGTGATACAGTCATGAAAAAATCTCATAAAATTTCTGTTTGTAGTTACTGTATTGGTTTACCATAGAAAGATTATATGTGTAACTGCCCCAATGAATTTATCTCATACCTGCAGTCCTCTCCAACAGCAGTTGGAGGTTCCAGCCATTCCTTTGCTCTCACACTTTCTTTTTCCAGAAATATCACTCCAGGAAATTGATTGGTTGGTTTTGTAGTATCTAACTAACTCATGCGTCTGCATAATAAGGCAATAAATATGCTGCTGGCTAGTGGAGAAGGGAGAGCGCTGCATGACCTGCACATCCTCTGGTTTTAGTGTTCTCTTGCATACGTGCAGATTAATCAAATGTGTTAGAGTTGAATCCCCCTTCTCACTTCTGCAATCCCTTTGCCTAATGAGAATGACAGGGAAATTAGACAAAATTGGACTTCTTAAATTCTGAGACACTTCCAATTGAATCTTAAGACAAGTACAGTAGTTTTAGAAAAAAAAAAAAAACTTATACTTTGACTATAAATGGCATTGTACAAATAAATGGCATCAAATTAACTAAATGCAGTTAGCTGAAGTGAAGGCTGTAATGGTGGAAAAATTGATGTAAAGTGAAATCACTCAGTAGGATCTGACATTGAAAGGAGGTTAAAAGCTATGTTAGCCAGAGACTGACAAAATCTAAAAGGCATGCATAAGTAAAGCTCTAATTAAGACAATGAAGACAGAGTTCCTGACCCAGCACTGCAATAATATTCTGGAAATGAGAGCTATCTGCACTTTGCCACCAGAGAGACTGAACCTGCCTTTAATCAAGAGATCGAGAAATTATATTCTTTAAATGAGATTTTGTTTTTTCTTCTGGGTCCTGCTACTGTAGAAGACTCATTCATTCTGTTTGTTAGCTATAGTTTCAGTAAGTCTTCAAGGCAGCCGTTTTTCTCTCTACTGCGCTAACTTTCAATATTTTCCAAAATTTCCTTTCAACTCTGAAGTGATCTTTAGCTGCTGGGTTTGCCATTCACCTGCCAACAGATACAGGATGAGTGTGAAAGCAGATCACGAGCAGTGTGAATGGCACTGCGGTGATGGACTAGCCCTCAGTGTGACCATTACTCAGCCAAGGCTGCTTATACACTGAGAGGACAGCAAGCAACGAGCAAATCCCAGGCATATTTTGCTGCCAGCTGTACTTGTGGAAAGCTGAAGAAACTCCACAGAAAATATTTTCAACAGCAATTGCTTTAAGACAGCAGGATATGCTGTATGCCATTTCAAATTACACTCTATGATTAAATCTGGCTAGAGTTAGGTTTTCCAACTGAGAGAGCCATCCTAATGCTGTGATTGTGTTCATCTTTTCCTCTCTTTGGACTTCCCTATCACCAATCTTTGATGAGATTTGCACATGTTTAATCTGTTGTCTGAATAGAAGCAAAGTTGGAAAGAAAATATGGGCGCAAATGCTCCTGCTTAAGAAGTTGGACAAGAAGTTATTGCAATAAGATGGAAAAAAATCACTGCAAATTTTTGGCAATTTACCTTTAGTAAAATACTTCCAAAGGTCAGATACTTCCACATGTGTATTGGCCAGTGTACAACTAACTGCCCATAAATGATCCTAATAAGAGGAAATGTCCTTGTCTCACATTAGAAGAATTACTTATCTTTCTCTTTCGTTAGTCCGCCTCCTGCCAATAACTGGGCTTGACCCACTCTTTGCTCCTCATTCATCTTTTGCTGCCCTGTCTTTTTCCCCTGGAGTGGCAGTATTCATCTGCCAAATGAGCTCTTCACAAGTGCAGGACTATGCCTTTATTCCAGCAAGTCTCACCTTCTTGTTATTTGAAATTAAAGAATGTCACATATAAGCAAAGACCAATGCTGACCATGCTGACAAAACATCAGCCTTTCAAAATGTCCTTTTGGCCTCTTTTTTTTACTATTCTTTTGTTTAAGCGTTGATATAAGCAGATACTTATACTTACTTCAATACACAAGAAATAGTGTTCCTCATCCTTTTCTTCTTTCTACTTTCAAAATAACTCCACTAATTTCAGTAAATGCTGTATATATTGCTTTGAGTGAGAATTTCATATAGGTAATCTACTTTTACCGACATCAGGATGAACTTTGTATTTTTCCATCACCATTCTCAGCTAAGAAGCTGGTCCGAAGCTGACTGTAAAAGAGAGGCCTAGCTTGTGCTAATCGGAAAAGCTCCACTGCAGCCCTAGCATTATCTTGTTATCAAACTAATCACATTCTCACATTTCTTTTCAAATATCATTAAGCAAATAATCTTCAAAGTTACAGATATCAGTGGTTCAGATTTCAAAATGCATAAATCCATTGTGTGCTTCAGAAAATACTAGCCAGAATTTAATCTTTTGGCTATGGTTCAAAAATATACAGAGCCCAATGTGTTGTTCCTGAAATCCAAGGAATAAGTCTGGAGGTGTTTTTTTTTTTTTTTGGGGGGGGGGGGGCTGCTCTGGGATCTGTGGCAACACTTCTGTTCAGTAGCACTGTTGGGGTTTCAGCCGCTATCTCTGACCATGGCTGGGCAAGTTATTTTATTCTTTTGGAATGGGAGTATTGCTCTCATTCCAATTTTGCCTCCTCAAACACAGGTTACTTTAAACGGAGATTAAAAATAGCTTTTCCTGCAGTTAGCGTGGAGCAGGCCCCGGGGATTTCTGTCTCACCTGCTGAACTGGGCACAGCTCCCCTGAGCAGGCGCACCCAGAGGAACAGAGCAGATATCGTTGTGACAAACACGGTTTTGCCTCCTTTCCCCAAAAAACAAAATGGCTGCTGTGCACCATGTAGTGAGCGCAGCCTCTCAGCTGACTGTGGGCATGAGACATCCTGGTGAGCAGCAGAGCAGGCTGAAATAACCTCCCCTTAGAGCACATTGGCTTTCTCAGCGCTCCCCAACTGACCCCTCTAGCTTCCCATGTTGGGATCAACACCATGTTGGGATGGATCAGTGCGGAAGGGCGGCAAAATGCCTGGGGAAACCTGGGGTTTCTGAGGCTAACAAGGGAAATACAAGGTGAGCACTGTTCCTGACACGGTCCTTCTGTCGCAGCAGGAGATGGCAACTTCCTTTACTCGCAAGCTGACGAAAGCCAGAAAGGCAAAGTGGCCCGACTGCTGAGCCCCGTGATTTACTCGCAGAACTCAGCCCACTGCATGACTTTCTGGTACCACATGTCCGGCGCCCACGTCGGCACCCTGAAGATCAAGCTGCGATACCAGAAGCCCGACGAATACGACCAGGTTCTGTGGACTCTGAGCGGGCACCAGGCAAACTGCTGGAAAGAAGGACGAGTTCTTCTCCACAAGTCTGTGAAACACTATCAGGTGAGCGTCTTCACTGCGCAAACGCAGCCGAAGGCAGGAGGACCTTGCCAGTCACGTTTCGTGTCATGGCAAAAAGTGTCACTGAGAGATTCACACAGACAGTACAGAGATGAGGTGCTGCGCTTTTGTAACGGTAATGACAGTAGCATATTTCATGGTATTTCAGATGACCATGACACAAGCAATTTATAAGAGAAAGCCAAATAAATACTTTAGAAATTATTTTTCATCTGTCACAAAACTGCATGCTTCCCACAGCTTTGCTGCTGATGTAAAAGTCTTTAATAAAGTAATAAAATTATATAAATGTATATCTGCATATATAAGTTCATGAGGGTGAACAGTGCACATTGGCAGGCCACAATCAAAGTATATGAATATGTGGCACCATGACAACTGAAAATTTGTGCTTAACAAATAATTAAGATTTCCTGAGTGCTGCAATTGGGTGTTGACATGAAAGCAATGTGTAAATTATCTTATTTCACCAGGTGGTTATTGAAGGAGAAATTGGAAAAGGAAATGGAGGAATTGCCGTGGATGATATTAACATTGACAATCGTGTAGCACAAGAGGATTGCAAAAGTAAGTCTGAATATCAAGAATGTGTAGAAATCTCATCCAAAACATATTTTATTTTGTTTTGATAGCTGTTATTTCTGTTACAAAGGGATACGTATTTGTTGATTATACTGGAAGCTTGCACAATGATCTGACCATTGGCTTTATCATTACACAAGCAAAACTCCCAATTTTATCTGTTGCTCCCAATGAAATCAAGTAATCATTAACAACCGAATCATTTCTATGGCACTTCCACTCTACATTCCTGATCATTACTGGCATTAGGTAATTCACATTTTGTTAATACTATGGTGGATTAAGAAGGTTGGTTTTACTTATCATCCAGAGCACATGACCATTGTGTGAAATCATTTTTACAACACCAGTTCCTAGCTAGGAATAACAGTCCCAGAAAAAAAAAAACAGTCAGTGCACATTCACATGCTCACATCTCTGTGGGTTACACTACTGCTCTTTCTGATTTCCTCTGCTTTTCCTAATGCCCTTCCTATTTTTAACCAGTGCTCAAAATTCCAATTTCATTCCTTCACCACTTTTGGACCACTTACTACCAAGGCTGCTTGAATTCTATCCAAGATTTTTACTGTGTCAAAGACTTTATGAGCAACCTGATCTAGTGCAATGGCCCCTGCTCCATTACCCGCTGTTTTGTAATTCTAAGGCTCTTGTGACTCTTGCTGTAGTTACCAGCTCCCAGGCATGTGAGACCCTGACTAATGTCACAACACGACCTGTTCCACGTCTCAGACAGACTACTCCTGGGCCATTACTTCAGTCCTGGCCAGTCTTGAGCTATTTCAGTCACTGGTGCTCACATGTGCATTGCATACTGCACATAATTTGGCAGCAGCAACCCCAGATAAACCCACAAGCAGCTAAACCATGACCTCCATGGTGGAGATGAAGTAATGACCTTTATAGAGGAGAGGGAACAGAACCAAGAATTTTCAGCAGCAGAAATATAAACTTATGCCATTGGCACTGGCAGTCCAGCTGTGAACAACACTGTAGCTACAGGAAAGCAGGGCAAGGCACACTACAGAGGTCCTTCTGCAGCATCCTCGGGGCAAAGCAGGGTGCTGCGACCAGAGCAAAGATATTTGCAGATTCATCTGCAATACCGTGACCAAAACAGCAGAAGACAGTAACTGCTTTCCTACCTCCACATGCTCCAGTTATCCAAACTGAAGACAAAGACTTTGGCCGTGGGAGCTAAAGCCCAAAGCTCAGTCTGCAGCCCCAACACAAGTGGTCTCGCCACAGTCAGTGGAGCCACCCTTGTGATTAAGTGTGCCTTCGCTGGTGAAGTGTTATGGAATTGGGCTCCCAAATTGTAAATACAATGAATGAGATGCTAATTTATCACACTGATTTCTCTTTCCCAGACATGGAAAACCCCTGCTGATAACTCTAAAACTGTGCCAAGATTGGGCGGAGAGGAGTTTTTAAATCCCTTTTTTTTTTTTTTTCTTCTCCATTAATTCTCAGAGCCCATCATAATGAACAGTTCTGTCAAGCTAACATAGTGCTGCTCTGACACAGAAAAATCTGCTATACCATTGTTGCCTGCATGATAGTCAATCAGTGTTTGTAACCCTAATAATCAATGTCAATTCTCTTTGCTTCATTAGAATCAACTGATGTGGAGAATGAAATAGATGAAGAAGACCCAGAAAGTGATCAAACAGGTAAAAATTGTGCTATTGTTAAGATGGAATGAATTTAAAAGTGCATTTTCATGTGAATGTGTGTACTATAATTATTTATTTATAGATTAGTTTTCTAAAGGTATATGATATTGAGGTTTTTGTTTTAGCTAAACCAGATACTAAGAAGGCTTATACTTTTACTAAGGTTGGCATCTTTTATCTGCAAAGTATGGATTGTTATTCTGTATACATATTCCAAATCTTATTTACATGCATTTGTTACATTGTATACAGACACATGCATGTATCCTACAGCTCCTTACCATTTTGTTATCAAAAAGGCATGCCCAAAGTTGAAGAAAAAAATCACCATATCTTATATTTTTTATCTCATGCAGTGTCAACCTAATAAGACTCAAAACCCTTCAGACTCATTATTTCTCAGATCTTGCTGAAAATGTCATTTTATCACCAGCCTATGAAAACATTAACATTTTCAATGATGATAGTTGTAAATGGATCATTAAATGGATCATAATCATCATATTATCCCAATAATAAAATATGCTTGCAGTTTTCAGGAAAAGAGCGTATTTCTTTTTTTTTTTTTTTTTGTCAAATTCAATGGGATGGTTATCATTGATTTCAATGATGGCATGATTAATTCAGGCAGATTTTGCTTTTTAGTAGAGGATATGCAAGCAGGGTGTGCAAGCTTATCAAATCTTTTTAATAAACTCAGAAAGAATTGATAGGAAACACTATGATATTCAGCAAACATTTTACTTGAGGAGGCAGAATGCTCTTCTGCGTCCGTTCTTTTAGTGTTTCCATTTCAAGGTCCAGTCCTGAAGCCAGTGAAGTGGAGATGGAACAAAAATGTCTGCAGAATCAAAACTGATGTCAAAAACTATAAACATTCACACTGACCTATATAAGATGTAATTAAGATTTTGGAACTAAACACTGCAAACTGACAAAACATGATCCAAAGGTCTAGTCATTCATTACCAGTCACCTGCTTAATAAAAGGCAGATTCGTACCCCCTACTAACATGCTGCAAATTCAAGGGCTGAAGAACAATATGAAAAAAATCAACAACTACTTGAGTGGTATTATATAGTTTTTGACTATTCATGTCTGCCTCCAGTAAACTAGATTTTCAAATTTTGCAGCTATTTGTGTCAGAATTTCCCACTTGTCAAACAAAGCATGAACGCTAACCAGAATCAGTTCTGAAAGCTTTGCAACTGTTTGTTCCATTTCAGGGTTCACACCTCCATATCGCACAGATGAGGACTACGACGATAACATCTCCAGGAAACCAGGCAATGTCCTGAAGACCCTAGATCCAATCCTCATTACTATCATAGCCATGAGTGCACTTGGGGTGCTCTTAGGAGCTATCTGTGGAGTTGTTCTGTACTGTGCCTGTTGGCACAATGGAATGTCGGAGAGGAACTTGTCTGCACTGGAGAATTACAATTTTGAACTGGTCGATGGTGTAAAATTGAAAAAAGATAAACTAAACACACAGAATTCTTTTTCGGAAGCATGAAGGTATAAAGCGACTAGAGAAGTTTCAGAGAATTGGAATGGAAGGACATAACTCGGTCGTGCTGGGGAACTGTTGATCTTCTTTTACTGTACAGGCTGAAAAGTGCATTGATGACACTGAGCCAAGCTATTCTCAGGAGCTTCAATGAGTGTGTAATGGATAAACACGGACAACAATCTGTGTTAACAATCTGAATCATGTACAGTCTGCTTTTTCTGTTGGTTTTATTTGAAGTAATCAAATGCTGGTGTTGAGACCAAGTATGATTGACTTATAGTTCATTATGTTTTTCTTTCTCTCCCTCCCTCTCTTTTGTTTCCTTTAATGGATAATTTTGATTTTTACTGTGCAAAATCCAAGATGCTGTCATAAACTGTATTCAGTGGGGTCCTTTGGATGGACATGCTGTCTGTAGCTCAGTGCCCAGAAAATGTTGGAGTAACAGCAATTTAGTGGACTCCTGCACCTGTATTTGTGTATAATTGCTCGTGTTGTGCATAGGCAAAGAAGGGTTAGGATGTTATTGAAAAGTACTGCTGCATCAGTACCAATATAGTGTGTCAGCTCTGTTTATGAAGCAATACAGTCAAATTTTATTGATGTTTTTCAGTGTTGTACTAAATTTTGTGCTTGTGAACTCCATAAAAGAGTATGTGCCATCATCAGACACAACTGGCAACCGAGTGTACTGCCTAAAATCTAAACAAAAAAGTCCTTGGCACTGGCTAGTGTATGTCCTCTCAAGTGCCTTTTTGTTTGTACTGTTTCTCATTGTGTTAACATTAACTACAGCTCTGCTTCTCTCTAGTTAAGGCCCTTGTCTTTAATCATATTCTGATGGCTCACTGATTAAACAAAAAGAAAAAAGTATATTTTAGTTTGAGAAAGTAGCCTCAGCAAGGCAAGGGCTAATCAGATTTGACAACTTGGCTTGATTGTTCTGCTTTCTGTATTTCAATTTCATGTCTCTTGACCCTTTTGTATAAAGCTGCAATATCCCCTTTTATTGTTCTTTCATATAGAATGTATTTTCAAATGTAAAATCTCTCTCCCTTGCTCTTTCTCTCTCTTTCTCTCTCTGAGTAGATTGCATAAGCATTTGCCATTGCCAAGGAAAGAAAACTGCAGCTTTAACTTGCTGGTAATGGCAAAGGATTTTATTAGAGTTTGTGTTAAAAAAAAATTAAGGGAAAATTTTAACTTTACCCTCCAAAGTCGAACTTTGGGTTTCTTCTTAACAGCATAAAGTGACAGTATCTTTTTTCCTTAAGTCATGAAATATGTCTTTTATCCTGAACAACTTGCCTGTTAATTACACTAGGGAAAACTGAAAAGATTCCCTTACTGAAAAGATTGCCTTTAAAATAAGGAGCTTTCCTCCTCCTGCCCCTACCTGAACTAAGAGTTCTGTTCTCTCAGTAAAGTCTGTATTTTCATGCTAATCAATGCTAATTGGGCTCAGGCATGGGTACTGAGGGCAGAATAAAATCCCACTGTGTACATAGGGTATGTCCTTACAGCTCTGTTACATCCGACTGGCATTTCCCCACAGGTTCCTTCTGTTTGACCAGAAGTGCACACAGCTTCCTGGTGCCCTGCTCTGCAGACAACGTTAGATTCAGTGAATCAAATAATTTAAACTCATTAAAACGTATTTGATGATATTGTGGTGTTTTTTAATATCCTAGGGCAAATATTATTGGATAAGAAATAGTAACAGCCTATACAGCTGGTGCAACAGGGTGAGAAGACACAAGTTGCTGAAGGTGAAGTCTGATATCCTTAGGAGGAGATGATGGGAGCGCCACAGGTTTTCTGCACTGACCTACAGGCTGCCTAACTGTATTTTGGGAGGCTGTGAAGGAAGGCAAGTTTAACCTGACCCGAGATACCAGCCAGCAGGAAAACCAGTGCAAACCCTGGGGAAAGTAAGTGATGTGGAAGGATGAAGTGAGCTGATTTTTTTCAGTCAGTTCCAAAATTGCTTTCCTAGTATAGCTATCTTGAAGCATCTTGGCCTGGGTTAAGACTGAGCAGGGCCTAGCTCTGCCCTGAATTGCCAGAGCAGCAGAATTCACCACTGCTTATCCATTAAGTGCTTTGAACCAGTGCAAACTGTAAGACAGAAAATCCTGTAGAAATACCCAAGTTATTCAGGAATGGGGAGGTAGATCAGAGGTAAAAATACGAGTTCAGAAGGTGAAAATATTTTGCAGGAAAACAGAGCAGAAAAACAAGGGGACAGTTGCTAAGTCAAAGGACTCCTAAAGGCAGAGATGTCAGATACTCTCTTCAGGTCTCCAGACCGTAGATGCCTAAACTGGAAGGGTGGCTCCACAGGCTCCTTATCTTGGATCTTGGTCTTGGTAGATCTTGGTCTCCCAGAAGCAGATTCGAGCACCTAAGACCCAGAAGTTAGGCCATGAAAATTCCCTTCTGGACTTAAAAACTGACCTGGCTAGCACAAGTGACAAACTCAGTTTGGATGTACGTAATCTGACCATATCGGTATCGCAGCAGCTAGTTAATTAACCCAAAGAAGTAAAAACAGATTTTCAAAACTACTTTCATCATTGTGTGACTCAGTTGTGTTAGGATCTGTTCTCCCCAGCTGAAACCACATCTAGCTCGTTAACCTCACTGAGTTTCATGCATATATTGCCTTGAAGAGAAAATCTCCTTTGGGGAGGCCTGTTCCAGAACCTTTGAAGTTTTCCCATGGATTTCAATAGATTCTGGATCAACTCGTGGTCTTGGTCTGTTTAAAGAGTAAAGGCTTTTTTTCCTGCTTTAAATACTGAGAATAGTGAACAGAAAATGAAATATATCTCCTTTGTGATCTTCAGCCCTTACCATGATAATGAAGATCTAGCACTGAAGATTTGATTTCTCTGAAGGTAATAGAATGAAAGTTACCCTTAAATAAAGGAAAAATGATACTGCAACTTTACATTGAAAAAGTATATTGCACTGATAAATATATTTAAAAAAATTATATGTTTATAAAGTTATTAATTTGTAAAGGCAGTGTTACAAAAATGTTCGGTTTATATTGTTTTAGATTGTTTCATAATTTTTAAAGTGTAAAATAACATATTTTTTTCTTTATTGAAAAACTATAAAAATCTTCTGTAGTAAAATGATTTCATTTTACTGGTATATTATTGCTTCATGTTTTGTACCATCATAAAACTTTGTGCAAATTTTTTTTACAGAAATTTTTATTTTCTATGACAATATGACACTTGTAAATTGTTGTTTCAAAATGAACAGCGAAGCCTTAACTTTAAATGACATTTGTATTCTCAGACACTGAGTAGCATAAAAAAATCACATAGAACTGAACTGTAACTTAAATTTCCAAACTATGACTACTACATTCCAAAGAAACAGTTGAATTAAACATTTTCATAAAATATCCTATACCTGATGTATTTTATTACACTGAAAATTGGTTTTTTTTTTTAAGGCTGTTTTTCTTTAGATTTTTTTTTTGTGGTATATTTTGCTAGAATTAAGGCATAACTTATTTTATGCCTCTAAAGCTATGTTTCTGGTCTCACTGGGCAGGCTAGACTGTCGTTATACCCAGTGGGTGACCAGACACTTTGGCAGGACAGTTCATTCTTGCTGCCTCAGAAAACTGGCTTAGGGAGAGCTTCACGCCCCATGGGCCCAGCTCTCCCTGAGGGCAGGCAGCTCCCTTCCACGCCTGATTTTTGGATGTCTATAATCAGGTAGGAGGGATCCCATTCAACTCCGTGCCAAAAGACATGGATTTAAGAGGACAGGTCTGCCCTCACTGTCCACACATGGTGATTGATGTCCTTGCAGTGGGAAGCCCGAGGGCATCCCCTACATGGGTCACACGTGCATCTTGTGGCACTCAAGAGGTGTTACTTTCCCCAGTGAGTAATTTCCATTTTTGACAAGTTGTCTGAGTAAATCCTGCAGGTCTGCTCCAGCTGTACGAGTCGTAAAGGTTGTAAAGCCCTGCAAGCTTCCCCTGGAGACAGCAGGGCTTACCCAGCCATGGCCATCTCCCAAGTCACTGACAGGAGGAAACACCACAAGACCTGCCCATCAAGCCTGGCTGGTGTTTGTCAGTCCAGTGCTGAAATTCCCTTGGAAATATGTACTCAAGGGAGGTCTGCAAGACATTTTTATCCAGATCAAAAGTTGTTGAATGCATTTATGCAACACTTGCCTACGTGTTTCTTTTTAATATTGATCAGTGTGTCCTCCTAGTGCTACTGCACTTTGCACACAAGAACAAGGCATGTACTGTTACTACGGCATTAGGCTGCATACTCATCGCCATATGTTCCCCTTCAACTATTCTGCTGCTGCAGGGAAAAATATTCTAGCTATTCTTAACTTGCTGCTGATTGCAAAGCTTGAAAATGAAGTACCAAATCTTTTCTCCTCGAGGGAAAAGTGTTGTGGGTCCCTGTTTCAAATAGATGTAACAGGAATTCTTCTGGACATAGCTGCTTTGTGTAACCACCATGGAGATTTGTGCTCAAAAGATCACTTTGAAAGCTGTTGTCCGTATAATCACTATACCCAAATTCTTTTTAAATTTAGTTCATTTCTGCATGTTTCTGTGATAACTAGCCACTGAGTTTTTTGAGGACAAAGAAGTGAAATTTATTACTAAAAAATAAAAATCTCAAGAGTGCATTAAGTTGTGAAAACAAAGACAAGTATTTCAAGTTGAGAAGAAAATTCTTTCTTTACTGTATGGGAAATTAATTAGCTTAGAAGATGATAGCTACTTAACACTAAACCTTCAGCTTTCCACATGAAACACTGGTAGATCAGCTAAAACAAGGACAGAAATGGTGACATGTCAAACCATTTCAGAACCTAAATTGTAAGCTTGAAAAATGGTCAGAGAGAAATAACAGACAGGTCAGCAGCAGACAGTCACTGCCATGGATGCATAACCCTGGGGCTCAAACATTAGGGCAACGGTGAGCGTGTGAGGTGGGGCGAGGAGCAAATCCTGCCCTTATTTCCCCAGCCAAACGTGCCAGCAGAGACAGCAGACACGGCAGCAGATAGGAGCACAGAAGGGGCAGGGACAGCACAGCCAACACCACGGCTGGGTAAAGCCTGGCATGACAGCAGTGTGCAAACGTGTACGAACCTCTACAAACCTCTACAAACCTGCCCACGGGACCAAAGCTACTGGCTCCAGTGGAAATAAAAGTTCCTCCAAGGTAAAAGTACCCTTCGCAGGGCACAAGAGGACTTAATGTGCATACTGGTCTAAGCTGGGTTCTCATGTCTTTTATCACATGCAATTAGCCTATTTTTAATTTCATTCTCCTAAGCAGCTCTCCCAAAGCCAAATGTTGAAGTTTATTTTGATTTTCAGATCACTGGTAAATTTGCTGGCATCGTGGATATCCCAGAAGTAATTCACTCTCCATTCCCTATTTTTCCTGTTCTCTGCAACACACTGTGCCTAACTGCATATTGGTTTAAGCAACATTAATTTATTAGAGCTTTAATTTCTTCTTTTATAACATTTCATGCATCAAGTCATCCATAACCACAGTTTTATCTACAA